GCTGTGCCTCGATTTTAAATAGGTTTTCTACAGGGGTTGCTTATGCACATAGATCATCCCCTTTTGAATTAATTCCTCAGTCCCCTCTCGCCTGCTCATTGCTCTCATCCCGCACTTAAAAAGTTCCACAGATCTTGGACCTGCCGCATTCCAATGAGAGCTCCTCTAATGATTGCATTGTGAGCCTTAGAACTGACTTCAGAGCACATCTTAGATTTAACAACCTGTCACTCGCTGATCTGATTAGCAGAGGAATAAGATTAGCCTCAAAGCAGATGGAGCACACGGACAGATTGCAGCTCTGAATCTTGGAATGTGGTATTAGATGCAAACACTTTAACCTCACATGTTTCTGGGGTGGTTTCGCTTACAGAAACAGACTTACTACAAACAATAATTATAGAGCATTTCAAGAATTTCTGCTGGGAATAATACCTTTTATGGCTCACCTTAAACTGTGTGGGGGAAGTTGAAGGAGAAACAGCTGAAGTTGGATTAAAAATGTTGTCATCTAGGCAGAAGGGTGGAGACAACTACACGTAGTAAGTCCATAAGCTAAACGGAGGCATAACACATTTCTTCAGGGGATATAGACCTCTTGGATGGCCAGTTGACAAGGGTGAGTCAAATGTGTTTGCCAGAATAATTTTCAAAGCCTTAATTAATCGAAAATATGTACATGACAAATTATAATTGTGTAGTCTACATGTTTTGTGTTATTTGCACCTCTCCTGTTTAAACTGTTGGCATCTTAAATCTAATTGAAGGTAAGGGTAAATAAAGAGCACTTACTATAATGGGAAAGATTCTGTGATAACACAAATAAGTCAGTCTCACAATATCACAATGTTTTTTGCAGGGGGTTTAAAAACCTCAGATGTATCTTTATTCCACCTAAATTACAGTTTGAAACCCAGGAGCTTTCAGATTGCCCAAGTTTGTGTCTTGAGGTGAGATGACATCAATTGTGGACGAGACAGCTGGGGACCTCCCTGTCCGAGATGTAGGAATGATGAGAGGGGGGTTGATGCCAACTGTCCCAGGTTTGAATCGTCTGATACCAAAAAGTAGTGATAGATATTTGCATATTCATTCATTAAATCCATGATATCATGTATGACAGTACATCAATATGATCTAGTTGCACTGCCAGGAGTAGTCTAATTTGATTTGAATGATATGTTAAAAATTAGGATGTTTTTGTTCATTATTTGTTTGTTTTTTTGTTGCTGTTCTTTTATAAAGTTCATCTCCTCAGAGAGTCAGTTTTATTTACTTATGATTTACTACTTATAATTTCAATGCAAAGTTAAAGGTTTAAATGGTTAAATGGTTTGCAAAAATTCTAAACCCACATTTTATATAAAGTAGAATCAATTATATTTGATAGAAACTGAAATCCTAAAAAGCAATAGCACATACCATTCAGTCCATGTCTTCGCAGATACCCTACGCGATGTCAAGTCATGGAGAAAGCATCATGTCGCAAAGATGAAAGGTACAACCGCTTTTCGAAACTCTTTCAAACATATTTCAGCTCATTGGCTCATGCCAAGAAAACACTTTTTGTAGTTCTTCAGTTTCTTTATTTCAATTTTTGAAAGTCTGTGCTTTTTTTCCTGCAGACCCCCAACGGTTGTTTCGATATCCCAGGGAGCATCTGGAGGATCTCTGTCTGCAACTGCAGGAGGAAAACAGTGTGCTCAGACAACACACACGAACTCAGGAGCACAGGCTGCGCAGGTAACACAA